AAGTGAGAGAAAATGAGATAAATTACCTAATGTAAAAGGAGACATCTTTTAATTCCTTTATTCTCATTTCCCTTGCCCCTCACTCAACCTTTGACTCTGAATCTCTAACAATGGCAAGTATAGTTGACCCTTTGACTCTGAATCTCTAACTATGGCAAGTATAATTGAACCAAACAAAGTAGGACATTTTGCACGACCCAATACATCCTTTCATCCCAAACGAACTATACCACCATCAATGTATATATAATTATTATTATTTCTGTTTATTCATTTCCTTATAATTACCATTGTTTCAATTTATTTCTTTTCATGTAAAATAATAATGAAATCTTGCTGATTGAATGAAAAGAGCGTTATGCAATAGTGCGAACCCTTTCATGCATAGCTAGAGAGTTACCTGTGCTTAATTTATTCAAGGTGGATGCGTGCGAAATGTGAGTGAGATAAACTCACGTTATTCCCGGTGCTTATCTTCATCATTGCTTAGACTCCCTCGTGTATAAAATGAGAAGAAAGGTGTGAGTAGCTATACAAGTAGATTAGGTTTAAGATCATAAATGGGTTTATGGTTTGTTTCGAGTATCAACAGCTTCTATATTTTTTTGGTGAGATTGGTGTCACGACATCATTGAATTATAGGGAATGCAAATGAGAGTTTGGGGTTGATGGGTATGTTTTCTGGTTCGATGTCATATATATAATTAGGTAATAGCTGAAAAAAAAAAATAGCTGAAATTCAAGGAATGAATTGATGCTAGCCGTTTATGTGATATCGGACCAGGCTTCATTCCTATCAACCTGATCTCTCTCACTCCGATCCCTTTGTGTGTTAATGTATATGTGATGTGTTATACATGCACGTAATCTTCGGTGCATCTTATGCACAGAAGATTTATTCGTGTGAGTGAATTGGGACTTTTCCTCTTTTCACACTTTGAGTGACATATATACTTCTATTTATCATATTTTTCAGTTGATTTTATTTTTATTTATTTCGGGTAGTGATGGTGATATAATTTTCATCCGTAAGACTTACGTTCAGTTGAATTCTGCTCTCATTTTTGCATCGCATATGAAAAGATAAGTACTGAGAAAGCACACAAAGATGAATGGATGTCTTGCAGAAGAGAGAGACGCACAAGGCTCTTGTTGTTCCCTTTCTTTGGTGGTTGTCCTTCGTAATTTCTTGTTTGTTTTTTTATTTTAATTTGAGGAGGGTGACGAGGGCGAGGGGTTAACCTGCAAATACCAAAAATTTAATCTTTTGCCTTGTTGTCTTTCTTCCTTTTGTTGATTACATTATCGGTGTTGCCTTGGAAGTTTATTTCGAGAAGCACGGCTCATACTTTGCGAGGGTCCTAGTTGTCGGAGTCAGCAGAAAGGCAACTGAAATCCTGCTCTCAGGTGAGCGGGCGGGGGTCCGGGGGGCAGCGCGCCCCAGGTCCGTAGAGGCTAGGTACTGTTGTGGGCCTCTGATTCATTGTAATTTTCTTAGTAGTCTGGGCTTGGACCCTTGAATAACTGTTGTTAGGATTTTTTAATCCTATTTATATTTTTCTCGTAAATCGAGTGACTTGTAACAAGTGGCGGTGAGGTGAATATATTAAAGACAAGGCAAACGTAGCCTAAATTGGGTGAACCAGGATAAATCTCTGTGTCTATTCTCCCTCTTTCTCTTTTCATTTTCGATTTATGTGATTGTCGATTTCCAACATTTCATCTTAAAAAAATAATAATAATAAGATGAGCAGGGTTTATTCATGCCATTATTGAATAATTTGTTGACTTCAATTGCATTATATGATTTTACTCAGATTTTAATTTTAAGTTTATTAATTTCTCTCCCATAAACAAAACCAAATTTGATTAGAGGAGAATTAAATTTACTCATTTCATTAATCTTGACTATATCATAAATTAATGTCGCCGCACATGAATTTCAATGACTGTGAGGACCTTCGTAACGTGATCGCAAAAGATAAGCATTGCATTTAACATATAAGTTCTTAGTAGTATAGATAAGCAAAATTTTGAATCGGAAATTAAGCTAAGGATAAGGCACATCAACAAGAGCGTTTGAATACACGAACAAGAAGTAACGTGAACCCTTAATTACTCCAGGCGTAACCTCACTTTACATTGGCATATGGGCTAGGTTTTTCCCAAGGTGGATACGTTTCAAACTATATTATATGTGGGTGATTGCTTCCCATGCTTTTAACATTGTCGTCTTTTTTTTTTGATGCATATCGTTATCGCTTTTCTTGATCTCTCATTATTAAAATTCATCTAAAAGGGGTCTTCTAATAATTAATTAAACTTTTCGGAGTCATGATTAGTGATAATGAGTAGTGAATGTTGTTGGCTTTTCCTAGTGGGAAAGTTGTATGCGTTGTATAACATTTTCAATGGATCATAAGGCCAGTTGCTTTTTGTTTTTTTAAAATGATAAGTGTTCTAGATATTCATCCACTAGTTAGGTTCAATCTCTTAAAGCTCACATCTAAAATCTTCTAGAAATTATTCATGGCAAATCATAGAGGCTTACCACTGGAATATTTTCCTTTCCATGCACTGCTGCTCATGTACATTGACAGTGGGCAACATCCCTTGTCTCAAGACAAGATATGACTTGATGAGACAACTCATGGGACTGATCAGTTGGCTCCCCCACACAGAGAGATCTCCTCTCTAAATACCCTCCTCACACAAGAAAGGAGATCCTCTCTTTTACTCTCTACCTATGTGCCCCTCTGCAGCGTCATCTTTGCCAAACACACTCTTCTCTTTATGCACACCATGGAAAGCCTCTACAATGATTTGGTCTTTAATATTATTACTATGAACACCCCTATATTAACATACTCCACCTTCTATGTGACATATATCTATATACCACCCGCGTTACAATAAGTATTATGGATAACTTGAGTTTTCATGAAAACTTAGAATGCGCTGTGTTTTTTTAAATCAAATCAGTTAATAAAATTGTGAAATGTTTAAGAGATCCATCCTAATAGGTTCTCCCTGAACAAAAAAAAAATTGAAAAAGGCGGTGTAGAGATTGCCCAAGCAAAATATACATGCTTGCTCGGGAGAATTTCAGACTGCGGTATCGAACCATGCATGGGTTCCATAAACTGGGTAACGATAAAGAATAAAAATAGTTGTGTTAAGGGTTGTTTGTAAACACAAAAATATGTCAATCGGAGAACCCAAAACATTTACATATATTAAGTAATTTAGACGCTAGGAAATGAAATTCGAGACCTTTATATTCAGTATAGCAAAAATTATTTAAAATTCTCAATAACCTACAATGCCTGTCTTTAACACACAATTTTAATAAGGGTTTTATAAGAGTTATGTTGTAGGAAAAGTGATTGTGTAATGTTATAGAGATTCGTTTTGCGTGCCTTAATTTTTTATTTATTTTTTTGTTTTAAAAAATGTGGGCCCCACAAAATGTTGTGAGAGTAGGAAAGTTTGTTGTGTTATGTTAAAGGATAAAACGAAAACCTTTTTAATAAACTCATCACATTATATATTTTTTACTTAATGTGTGCGAATGCAAGTATCTTGAATTCTTATTACGAATAGGAGGATCTTAGATTCTAATACATCTTGCATAACATCATTTTTATCTTTGAGTATGATCATGTTTCAGTTTTGTACAGGAGGCGGTACATAAATGTGTCCCATAAAAGGTGAAGTATGTCAATCTAGGGGTGCTCATAGTAACAATGGTAGGGACTAAAACACTATAGAGGCTTCCCATGGTGTGCATCAAGGGGGAATGTGTGTGTGAGTGTCTAAAATGGCTCTATATAGAGGCATAGTAACAACTCTCTTGGAGAATAGAAAGAAGATTCTCTCTTCCATGCGTGAAAAGGGTATTTAGAGAGGGCAAGTCTCTCTCCAAATACCCCTTTCACGCATGGAAAAGGAGAATGTGTCAATCTACGAGTGCTCATAGTAACAATGGTAGAGACCAAAGCACTATAGAGGCTTCCCATGGTATGCATCAAAGGGGAATGTATGTGAGTGACTAGAATAGCTCTACATAGAGGCATAGTAACAACTCTCCTGGAGAATAGAGAAGAAGATCCCCTCTTCCATGCGTGGAAGGGATATTTAGAGAAGGCAAGTCCCTCTCCAAGCATGAGAGAGAAAGCCCTCTTTAACTGTTGCCTAGCCAAGGAGACAAGACATGTTGCCCAACTGTCTATGTGCAGAGGCAACAAGTGCATGAAGAGAAGAGAATTCCTTGTGTTGAACCTCTATGACTTCTCAAAGAGTGCCCTCTAGAAAGTTGTAGAAGTAGGCTTAGTAACATAAAGCCCAACTGTGGGTCTAAAGTAGATATCCAGAACAAGTTTAAACATGGCAACGACAATCTTGCTATATATACTCCCTCCCTTATATAAAAGGCCCTTCCATCCATGATAATACAATTCAGAAAATATGAGAAAGTGAAACATAAAGTGAGATACGATTTCGATTTATTTTAATTAAAATTATTCACTTTCAACTTACTTTTATGTTAAAAAGTGACCAAGACTTATGGAATGAAATCTGAAGTTAAATAAGTTGCAACTCTTTGAGTTTAAAATCATCATATTTTATTGCACTAAGTGAAATAAATTCCATTCTTAACTTGTCACCATGCACTATCATGAAGATTTAATTTTTTTTTCATGACAAAGAGAAACATAACTATAAAAAAAACAAATTAAGTATTCAATCACTGAAATAATGAAGTGCCAAGTGAAGCTCAACAAAACAATTACGAAGCCAATGAAACTTAAATGGCACTAAGGGTGGCTTGGATTAGATAGCTGAAAGAATAGATATGTAAAAGTATGACATTTTTTTTAAAAAAATGATGCTGAAATAAGCGGTTTTAAGCAATGTTTAATCCCATGACCGAATTGCAGAACTCTTGTAAAAAACAGGGAAAATAAATAAATTCGAAAGAATTGTGTGACAAGTAACTAAACTGAGGTAATAAAATAAAATAATAATCCTTTGGAATGATTAATTACAAAAAAGGATTAAACAAAAAAAGGGCAGGTTAAAATACATATTTAGGGAGTTTCTGGGAAAACTTTTTTCTCAAGGAAATTGATGAAACGTTCAGCATACTTATTGGGTTCTACTACTGATATAGTCATGGGGTCAAATCGCAGAGATTTGTAGGCATGCTCAATTTTCTTTTTCATATTATATTCCTGCAATATATCAATTATGCCCATGTAGAGTACCACATCATAAACCTCAAATAGTTCTACTTCTGATGCATCCACCTTATCCTCTTGAAGCTTGCGAGTCGCTTGAGCTGGCATGTTTACTCCTAATTGCACTCGCAACCTGAGTTAACACTCAATTAAACACATCATATATTATTACAATCCAACACAAGAAAGCAAGTGATTTATGCTAATATGACCAAAGAAGATACTTGTAGAGGAGCTGGATTAATGAATATTGAAATGGAAAACAATAAGAACAATCCAACACATCATAAAGATACTTGTATGCAAGAGAAACTAATGTTATAGAAGATACCTTGCAGTACCAGGCAGTAAAAGATCAACTTCCTTGTCACCTATGGAATATGCCCTCAATGTATTCCCTCTAATGTGGGGTCCAGGTGCAGTGTTGACAGAGTCAGGTTCATGGGCAACTAATAACAAGCCTTTAGGAATAATCAACTCCTCCCCTTTTTTGAGTGCATCTAGTTTATGCAAAGCAAGTCCAAAACTAGTGAATAGTAAGAAAGGAAACGAGGTCCAAATGCAGGAAGAAGTAAAAAAGAGAGAATGGGTTTGTAGTGAACTTGTTCAATAAAAATCTAGCTTGCTTATAGCAGGATTCACACGTGCAGAGACATTGAGACAAAAAAAGTTACACAAAGGAGATGAGAATATATCATTAGAAAGAATGCTGTAGTGATCGATCCTATGGACTTAGGACTAATAGGAAGGCGTTAGATTAGATATTGACTAGATACACATCATTTCACATATTGACTATACAATATAGCAGCGATTTTCTAAACTGCAAAACATTCCTAGTGATCTCAAAGTCATTTTTGCCTTTTTCTAGAAATGTTAATATGTTCATTAGAAATGTTTATATCGAAATATAATCACTAGTTTTTGAAAGAAAAATTCCACATTACGTTCTAAATAACTGGCATCAGAGGAAGAATTTACCATCTTCAGAAGGTAAGCTATCCTGAAGCTGCATTGATCCAGGAGATTCCACTAAGGCCTTTAGATTCTCTGGAGCTCTAAAATGTAATCCCAACAGAAGGCTGTAATCAATTATGTGCTGAGACTTCAAGAACATGCAGTCTAGAGAAATTTGCCTGCACCAGAAAAACAAATTCTGGTCACAACTCGGTACTATCACATGCCAAGAGCCAATCATGACCCAGAGGTTTTCTTAGTAATTGATATTTATTTAGTCAGGTGAATTCCATTTGGTCATCATTCAATATAATTGTAGCTTTTACCAAGATATAGCTTCTCTCTCGAAATGAAAAAGAGAAAGAAAATTCACTGAAATAAGTCCCATGACCCTATGGTTTCGGGGACCAATGAAACATTCTATTACAGCCATGATCAATATCATCAATTCACTAAGAAAGTACAAAATTATATTACTGTGAACTGTCATAAGGAAAATTTTAGAAGTATAAGGAGGCACCTTTGAGAATAAAGTGATTAAGCATTTCCCATGGGAAAGAACATAATATCACAAACCACTAAATAGGCAATACATGTTCTAGAAGGACAAGATTGTTATATTTTAGAAAGTTGTCAACAAATACTCATTACTTATACAGAAAAATGCATTCCATATCAATCACTTCAACAGAAGTGACTCTTACAAAGTAGGAACTTACTTGAATAGGGATTCTCGCAATTTTTTATCCATATGAAATTCATATAGTAGATCAAGATCTTTCAATGTTGTATTGCTATTAATTTTATCTTTGTCTGTATATCTTCCTTCAGTAGAACCTTTCAGATCATAACGACGGTGGATATGCAGTTCTGTGCAAAACATATTCCCCATGACCACAAAGCGCACCTAATATAGAAAACAAGGAAATATTTATAGTTATACCAATTAACAAGGAGAAAGAAGCTAGAGACAGAAATTAGGCAATACCTTTTTCCCACCTCTCAGTGTTATTCTATGGAGCCCAAAGAATTTTGTAATAAGAGTATTCTCATAATTTCCTACATGATGGTAGTATTTAGGAAGCATATTGAGCAGAACCTACAAGAAGAGAAATGAACTTCGGAATTGTCATTTAACTGGGTAATCAATTTGTTATTGATTGTAAGAGATGGAAACATAAGCAATCATCTATGCCTCCGTAAATATCTTTTAACATAAAAAAAAATTCTCCAAAAAAAGTCCATCTAAATGCAGTCTTAATTAGCCATTTTGGCATTGGATATCATGAACTTGCCCTTCATAATTGTCATCAGAATATAGGCACTATAAGTACTATTGGTATCTGTAAGGAACCATGCATGGATCAAAACACAAATGGAATAGAAACTTATATATTGAACTGTATATATGCACTTCTTGGTTTAGTTTGGAAGGGATCCCCTGTGCCCCCTCCTACGATACACACGTAGAATGGGTCGTTTCGTAACAGTACATATGCACTACGAAAGATAGAAAGATAAGCAATCATCTATTTCTCTCTCTAGTGTTTTTAACATAATAAACACTTATCTCCAAGAAAACTCCACCCAAATGGGGTCTTAATTGGCTATTTTGGCATTGGATTTCATGAACTTTGACCTTAAAAGTTGTCATCAGATTAGTGACACTAACAAGTACTATTGATGTCTATGTATTATCAGAGATGAAAACAAAAGTAATCATCTATTTCTCTCTAAAAGTGATTTTTTGAGATAAAAAACAGTTTTCTCCAGAAAATGCTCATCCAAATGGAGCCTGATTAGCCATTGGATTTCATGAACATTGTCCTTAAAATTTGTAATCAGATTAGGTAGCAGGTACCGGTGGAATTGTGTTTTATCACTCTATATAGTCTGTGTCATCCAATATGCTTTTTTATCCAACTGTAGAACCCTAGAAGTCAAACTCATCCCCCAGTTGATAAATTCAGCATAAAATAATTAATATAAAAATGTTCCTGGACCGATTAAGCCAAAAAAAAAAAAAAAAAAAAAAAAAGTGAGTACAAACCTTTAGTTCATATTTTTTCAGTGTCTTTATCACAAATCTATCATCTTGGGAAAGAAAGAAGATACTGCCACTTTTTCCAGGTGAAGATATGTCCCTTAGACCACAATCACCACAAATGGACATCATGTACTCTGCAGCATCTAATTTGAACATCTCTCTCAAATTCCTGGAAATATATGCTTAATCACAAAGTGCTAATTTGGAAATCTGGGGTACTTTACGTAGATTCTACCAAAGAATACATAATGAAAGAGCATGTGCTTTTAACCATAACCCTCACTAAGGACTTTAATATGCCACTATAATCATAAATTCATATTATCAAGAATTCATGCACATTATTCTAATAATGACTATGTTCACATTTAAATTGGGCATATTTCTTTCCTTCATTTATAACTAAGGAAAAGGGTTGGACTAAACAACATTGATTTACCAGTTTGAAAACTCTTCATTGGGGAATAAATTATGATCCACAATTGTTTTATAACCCAAAAAATAAAAAATAAATAAATAAATAAAAGAGCCTTTGAAAAAAATCGATCATACTGTAGCCATGTGGAAAAGATTCTAATGGATGATGCTAAAAATATAAGTCTTCAATTATGAAGGCATGGTGTGCATATAGTTAATAAATACCTGAAGACCATAGGACAATAATCTTTCCAGTAGAAGTCTATAGAACAATGTGGAGGAGTCAACCGTGAACCCTCCTTCGGGAAGTACATCCTTATCCTAGCTCGATCTCCAAAATCAGAAGACCGAACTTCACGTGCAGGCACTGGTGTAATTTTTCCAACAGTGTACCTGATAATTCAGCCAAACTTTTTCAAAATGAAACTTCATATAAAAATATAATACCAAATGGAATAAGCCAAACAAGCACACACTCCCTTCATTATAATGCTGACATAACAAGAATGTAATTTGGTTTTCATTGAATTTGTTAGTCAAATATTTAAGCAAAAACAGCAGTCACTATACAAAAAAAATATACAAATGTGTTTTTGGCTCTTAAGAGTGAGGTCTAGAGACTCAAAAGCGGAAGGCACAGTCAGGGCACTTGAGCCTACAAAAGTGATATGAAGGTCATGTGTAAAAGTTATCTTAGTTTTAATTTTGGAAGTAAATAGTAAGTAATATCTAATTGAGTTTACCAACTATGATCATAAAGTGAGCACTGTACAAATGTTATTAGTCAATGGACTAAAACCTCCAGCTGGACTTGGACAAAAAGAGTAGAGCACCACAAGTAAGGCAAGCTATTAACTACAGGAGTCACAAGAGAGTAAACTCAACGCTGGCCATGTGGTTTGTAGAGGGAACAAGCTACGTTCATGTGCTCGATCCTTGGAATGTGAAAGAAGCATGGAACTCAGTTTTAAAAGTGATTCTTACAAGGTTCTTAAATGATATAAGTGGGGTTCGGGTTATATATATCGTACCAGGTAAGGGGTGCATTTAAGGTATGAAAGACAGGCCAGTCATGCACTATATGAGACTAGGACCGAAAGCAATAAAGAGGTTGAGTATACAACGTTCATAAGCTCTTACACGGTTAAGACAAAACAGAATCAGAGAAAGTGTTTGGTAAGATAAAAGGGGTCACACGGCAGGGGATGCATACCATTACCATACCACACTTTGTGGAATCTACTCAAATCCTACCGCCACAATTGTTTGTTTGTATACCCAAAATCAAATTCTTGGGTGGAAATGTCAACCTTGTGGATGGCTGACAACTCAAACCCAGCAATCTACTTTTAGTGAAAGGCCAGAGTATGCTGAGAGTGTGCTCAATGGGCACAGGCTCAACTATGTCTTAGTCTTTTCGATATTAAATTCTTTAGATTTAATATGCTTTAACCCGTTTACATTCTCTATCCATGCCTAAATATTTCTGCTAATATTGCTGTGGACAACATGAAACACGCCATTTATACAATAAATTATTCCTTATATTTAATTTGTGAATCAATCAGCAAGTATATATCAATACACTCTAATGTGCTCTAACTTCACCATAACTTGTTGAACAGTTCTCAGCTATTACTTACTGACTTGAAGTCATCTAAATCATTTTCTACATGGTCAATATTTTAAAATAATAATATTAAAATGCAATAGAATGAATGGTGATATTACTGGTAATGATAAATACTACATCAGTTTTTCCATTTAGTTTAGAAGGGTGACGTTAGAAAAAATAATTTACCTGATGCCAAGCTGCAAATTAAGCTTCAGATAATAGCTTCGGCGTCCTCCAAAAATGTCTATACAAGAAATCTTTGTTAAGCTGACGCAAAGCTGCAAATTAAGCTTCATATAATAACTTTGGCTGCCTCCAAAAACGTCTACACACGAACTCTCCTTTACTTGCTTCACACTAAACTTATTTTGCCGTTCATTTTTATGTGATATGTCTGAATAGTTCCTTGTTCTCTCCATTATTAGAACTCCTTGCATATATTCCCTTTCATAAACCAAAGTACTTATACCAGATGCCTCAGATTGACCATCATGAAAGCTCTGCAGTAATGTAGGTGAGGAATCACGACATATGCAATCATCAGCAGGATCATGAAGGCTCCAATTTGCATCCAATGATGAAGTTCTGTGAGATATTTGACGAGAACTTTTTGATCTACCACTGACTGAAATCTTTTCAGAAACACTACGCTTAAATCTTGATTTTGGAGCCATATGTTTCTCTGTATTCAATAACAAACCATCATCAACACTGTTGAGAGCGCTGCACCACTTCCTTAGAGATGGTTGTTTACTACCAGCAGGATAGAATGTTCCTTTTCCATCCTTTAGGCCCTTACTCCATGTCCCAAGATAAACCCCCCCATCTGCATATCTATAAACGCCATATCCTTGTCTGAGTCCATTTACCCAACAACCATCAAAAACATCACCATGAGCCCACTTCATAACCCCTCTTCCATCTAATTTCCCATTTTTCCAAATCCCAATATACATATTTCCATTTTTCCAAGAATACCTTCCACTTCCTTCACGAATTCCTTCTTTCCATAAACCTTCATAAATATCTGAATTAAAATACTCCTTCCGTCCTATCCCATGCTCAGCATTCATCCTCCAGCCACCTGTATAAATGCACCCAGTAGATCTTGTAAGGGTGCCATAACCCTGAAGGTAACCCCCAGAGAATTCACCCTCATACTTTGCTCCTGATGGCCATATAATCAGTCCTTTCCCTGTCCTTTTCCCATCCACCCAATCACCCTCATATACTGTTCCATCTGACCATGTGTACTTTCCATTCCCATGGGGCAGTATGCCCTTGATTTTACCAATGTAGACATCCCCACTTGAAAAGGACTTCTCTTCAAACCTATATTTTACAAGAAACAGGGAAGTCATGGTACATGCATACAGAACATAATAGACACAGTCAAGATGAATGGGGCAGAGAAGGAGTTTCTCTGAATATTACCTTCCACTGTCCTCCATCACTTGCAGACTTTCACTGGTTTATTAGGATAACTCCAAGAAGTGTACCATTCATTCCCTTTAAAAGGTTAAACATGTCACTCACTGATATGATAAGGAAATTCATCTTGGCCTTCACCAGCTTTATGACACTATTGTGCCCGGTGTTGAAATCTGAGACATATACTACCATCATAATGAGTCTCAAAATGCAATAGAAGAAAAAGTCACATTAAATCCTTTAGCAGGTTTCCATACTGAAGAATGCTTTTTGGAATCTTCCCACAAAATATAAATACCAAAAAAAAAAAACCATCCGGTTCGGGTCAAAATTGTTATGCCATGATCAAATTGAATATTTGGAATTCAAGAACTTATTGCAAGGGAGACTTCACCCACTGATGACAAGAAGGTAATGAAGTTGACTAGTAATGTGCATTTACAGTACATATTTGAGATTTCTCACTGGTAAAACTAAAAATGAAGATTATTAAGCAGTTCTTGTTTCAATATGTGCAAAAGTACAAAGTCATATTCCAACTACAGAGAACTAATCTTGCTTTTCAATAATGTTTAGAGAGAACTGTTTCTTAATGAAATAAAGAGAGGCAAATATTACATAATTTGATTCTTTACTCTCATAATTTGTTATAATTAAAACGACATATAACCTGCAGATCAACAACATACTAAAATTTACACCTGAAAAAATATGCTCATTCTTTCAAGAGCTGTGACAACCCATGAATTTATCTGCGTTCCATGCCAAAAGAATGTAATTAACATCATAACTAAGCAAAATTAACGTCCTAACATTCACTTATTATGAATCAACGAAGAACAGACATAGTATGCATATTGGGTATAAACTATAAAGCATCTGTGTATTAAGATTTGAGTTTGAGCTGTAAATGAATGATCAAACCATATTGCCTTCAGACTTCACACCGATGGAAAAATTGAATATAATCAGAATCAGCCCAGAAAGATCAAACCCAAGTATAGAAACTCAAAACCAGGAGTAAAAAATTCAAGCTTTTTCCTAATAGAAAGGGATAGTACAGATATTCAATAATTCTACTATCTGCATAAAATGAGTACCTCAACCGATATTCTTCCAGAAATGCTAACGGGGTAGGTTCAATAAAAGGGCACAATCCAGAACACACAATAAAATTCCAAATTCAACCACACAAAAAAAGGAAAAAAAAAATCTGAAATAAGATTCACATAACTGACCTTGGATAGATTGAAGACCAATAAGCAAAACTGAAACCAAGAAGAAATCCTCAAAGAATGAAAAGCTGAAGCAAACAAATATTAAGTTCTTTCTAAAGCAGTTTCAGACAAGAGCTCAAGAATCCTTGTTTAACAGTCTTTATCTATTCTCAAGCCGACAACTGTCCCACCACCCCAAAAGTTTATACCATGGTCATATAGAGACACGTCACCTCTCTCTCTCTCTCTCTCTCTCTCTATATATATATATATATATATATATATAGATTGTGTGTGTGTGTGTTAACTGTAACTTGGCTCCCTTGTGTGACTTTTCCCCTTTAACTGTCAAACTACTTTGAGTAATAATACCTACGGTGTTGGTACCCTGTTTGTTTCATGCAAAGAAAAAGGGTACTTTTTCGCCCGCCTGAAGAGGCTACGGCGTCGTCTGAAGTTTGGAATCAGGAGCACGTGTGAGAAGTTCCTTATTGTAGCCATCATCTAGCATAGCACCACAATTGTGAGTTGTGCATGATGCTAAGTACCAACAGTATCTGTCACGAAAGGGACAATGGCCGACCATACCCCACACCCAAAGGCCCACACCGCTATTGTGCCTTTTTCCTTCTATTAACAAACGAAAACTATCTGTGATTTGAAAGGGATAACTTGTAACCTTTTAGAATTTCTGTTACTGAATAGTTATAGCGTTTTATTAGTGTTACGTAACATAATATAAGTGTTGTTTTTAACTCTCACATCAATAGGGAGAGAGAAAGTGGAATGATAAAAGAGAAAAAAAAATATGTGGATCCACCTCTTTAATATGTATGTAGGAAAGTGAAGTTATATTATGTTAAATGATAAACATAAAACCCATAGTTATAATATAAAAATTTACAGATGTGATCAAGGAGAAAGAAAAAAAAGTAATCTTTGATGTTATAATTATGTATTACGAAAGTGGATCCTCTTATGTGTAAAAGTGGTCATGTTATTTGATCAAAAATTACTTATTTAAAAATTATATATTTTTCTATCTCTTATCTCATCATCAATGAGTAGTTGTGATCAAATAACATGACCACATAATTATTTTGTCACGTGAGAGGATCCACTCCCATGTATTACCAGAGTGGATTTGGATTACGAAAGAAAAAAAAGTAATTTTTCATGTTATAATTATGTATTACGAAAGTGGATCCTCTCATGTGTAAAGGTGGTCATGTTATTTGATCAAAAATTACTTATTTAAAAACTATATATTGTTCTCTCTCTTATCTCATCATCAATGAGTGGTTGTGATCAAATAACATAACCACATAATTATTTTGTCACGTGAGAGGATCCACTCCCATGTATTACCAGAGTGGATTTGGATTACGAAAGAAAAAAAAAGTAATTTTTCATGTTATAATTATGTATTACAAAAGCAAAAGCAGATCCTCTCATGTGTAAAAGTGGTCATGTTATTTGATCAAAAATTACTTATTTAAAAATTATATATTTTTCTCTCCCTTATCTCGTCATCAATGAGTGGTTGTGATCAAATACATGAGCACATAATTATTTTGTCACGTGAGAGGATCCACTCTCATGTATTACCAGAGTGGATTTGGATTCTCTCATGTGAAAAAGTGATCATGTTATTTGATCACAATCACTCATTGATGATGACATAAGAGAGAAAAATATTTGATTCTTAAATGAGGGTTGTAATCAAATAATATGACCATTTTTTTACGTAAAAGGATCCAAATCCATCGAGAGTAGAGTGAAAAAATTAAAAAAGACACAATTTACCTCCTTTAGAACCACAGATAGTTTTCCCTAAGGGGGCGTTTGGTACAGGAGAATTTTTTTTTAACCAGGTAAATATGATTAGTGGGGAAATAGTTGTAAATGAAAATAAGTGGGGAAATTTTATAAATGTTGTTTGGTAGACAAAAATATTACCAGGGAAATTGTATAAAATTTACTGTGACTATGTTTGGTTGAAAGTAAAAGATTGATGGGGAAATATGACAAAATGTCAAAAATACCCCTGAATATAATAATAGACACGGTGGCAACGTTCTTCTTGTGTTGTTATGTGTTTCTGTGTGTCGGTGGTTTAGAAGAAAACCTCCATCTGAATCGTTTACGACCATGATTATTGGAGATGACATGCCTCGGCTTCATCATTTATTGCTGGTACTGTTTTTGGAAAAAATCTGTTGGACAGTTGGTGGTGGTTTTGCAGGCTTAGAGCTTGAAGCACTTTCCTTGCTTGGTTGTGGTTGTGGTGGTTTTGAAGGGCAAAGAACACTTTGGGTAGTAACTTTCTTTGTTGCTTCCATGGATCCTCCAATGAATCTATCTAGCAACCACATGCATGACCATGGAGCTATTTACGAGAGAAGAGCAAAATGCAGCAATGTTACTTCATACTTTATCATCGTTCTTGCAAGCGAACGGGTATTAGAGGAGAGGTGATTTCAGAAGGGCATTAGCGTAACTAAGTTGGCGCCAAATTTATGACTTCCCTAGCTTTTTCATCATACCACCTCCAAGAAGGTCTTCTCCAACAGTGCAGAGTGTTTCATTTTCCACTGAAATTTGCTTTTGATGGAGAAACGTTATGCCCTGCTATATTGGGAAAAAACCTGTATCAAACAAGTCATTGTCATTTCCCCACTTTGACTTACCCATCTATCCCCTCAAAAACCACCTACCAAACACCCCCTAAAAGTTAATGAAAGTTAAGGAATTTTGTAATAAATGGGATTTGGGTTTCAAATAGAGAAATAAATTGAAACTTAACGTATTTTGGGTGAAATTTAATTTTTCTATTTTTAATGTATTTATGATGTCACCTAGTTAAATTATTAGTTAATTGTTTGAATCATTCCTCTTACAATTTTTCAAGTTGAATGGTAATTTGAAGTTTGAACGACAACATATGAGCTTTCTGAATTTGAATCCTCGTACATAAAAAAAGTGACGTGGTCATATTATTCGATCATAATCACTTATTTAAAAATTATATATATTTTTCTCTTTTATTTCATTATAAATGAGAAATAGTGATCAAATAACATAATCACATAAACACTTTTTTATATGAAATGATTTAAATCCGAAACTTTATAGAGTAAGGGTCCCACGTTTAGAAAAACATACAATTTTGAGAATTTGATTTAACATGTCTCTTGCCTTTGGCATCCGACACCAGTCTACCTTCCTCAATGGTCACGAAATCAAGGTAATGGATTTTAGATTACGTTACGCAAAAACTAGAGTTTGGATAAACAAGACTTCTGTATTATCGTTTAGAAATTAATAATACAACTTATAATTTTTATTAGTTTTTAAGTTTATATTTTTATTATTTAACATGTATTATTTGATATAAAATCCTAAATTAAAAAAAAAATAATACTTTTTTTCTAGAAAGAGAGTACGGAAGTAAATCATGACTTGAAGTTGGGGCTCCGCTCCATAAACGCTTTTTTACATGATTGGAATCAATCATTATTCAGAAAGTTCAACTTTTGTAATAATATATTAATACATTATTTGATGTTAGGGTAAAAAAATTTATATGAAGCACAGGTGGTTGTGAGAGGAATGTTAATATTATTTTTATTATTAAATAAAATATCATATTAATCTTATTAAATAATATAAACTCACTCTTTATTAATGAAGTTAATACAAAGTTTTACTCAATAATAAAAAAATAAAAAGTAATATAAAAAAACATGTTACTAACAATTTTTTCGCAAAATTGACAGTTAAATATGAGCATTTGGCCAGCCATGAGTTAATATAAATACAAAGTTGAACTATCATAGGAAACTTTAATTAGTATAAGAAAAAGAGAATAAAAATTGGGGATAAAGAATGGAGATCTGAAGAGATATATTCTTGCCCAAAGAGAGAGGTAGGAAGTGGGGCTGTTACCAAAGATTATCAGAAAAGTAAAGTAGTTAATAATGTGTGAATAGCCATTTGACAACTTATATTGTCTGTATTAATTTATTGCTTTCTGATTCAGAAAGATAGCTAGCATATATGCCTTTCTCTGTCAACGTTAAATACAAGAACCGCACATCAATTAAGCATCTTATTCTGCCACAGTATACAACTTTGATTGGATCCGAAGTTTTTTTTTTTTTTTTTTTAAAAAGAATTCTTAAATTAATTCATTAATTAATCATTTCATGACAGAGTGTTTACATATAACAGTTTATTACTAAAACGAGCTACTATATATATTAAATATAAATTATATTTTATATATTAAAAATATTATTTAATATTAAAATGTGTTTTAATATGTCAAAATTTTAAAATTAATATATAACGTATCGTATTCCATATTTATGTCTATATCGGTGCAACACCGCAACATAGGAAATCACTGATATTTCTAATTCTATAGGTTACTTTATAAAATATAGAGATATTATGGTGAATGC